AAGAGTCTATAATGGGGCTACCATTAAGGTCCTAATATATCTCTACTTTGAATATTTTTCAACTATTACTGAGTGGGGGCCGTACCCAATGCTTACCTTACGAGTCAGTTTTGATGTTTGGTAGAAGTCCTAGAACCCCCACAGTTTGCGGCGTCGCATGCTAGGATATGTTTACTTGACTTATGCGTCTTTGTACGTGACAAGCCCAAGCTTCGACCAGTTTGGAAGTTTCAGTTCACGGCCTCGACTCACTACTGAAGCCGGAACTTCTATATAATTTTAGGTACTATTCAGACTTATTCTGAGTTTTATAGCTGCGGTATACTATTGCCATTATACAGGCCCCGAAATACCCCCTTCACTAATCCCTCACAGGAATTCGGGTTTAAGGAATTTCCGCAAACTAGAAGGCAAAAACTGCCGAGAGTTTAGGATTTAACTTTAGCGGTTCTTTCAGGGTGGCAGAAAGGCTCAGGGAACAAAGGGGCCCCGCTATGGATCCCAAACAGCCGGAGCCTTATGATAATACTCACAAAATGGGGGCCCGGTTGGTATACGCTTGCGTGCTCAGGCGATCGACAAAGAGGTAGATCGGATCAGCGGCTTGCTTGCGATTCAGAGGTCTTCATATAGGGACCTAAATAGTTACCAAAACCACTTTTAGGGTTCCTTATTATAATTATAGTACAATGGGCCCCAAAACCCTTTTTTAAAAAATTAAGGCCCCTATGTTAGGTGTTGGGTGGTCAAGCCGCGTTTGCTTGGTTTTCTTTGTCATGCCGTCGAGTGTGTGTGCGTAGCTGCAGCCACTGTACTGCTCCTCCTGCTGCTCCTTCCTACTCCGTCGGCCGAGCTGATGCTCCGGCTACCACAGTTTCTTCTTCGTCTACTACCATCACTAGTGCGGCTGCCACGACCACGAACACAACAACGACGACCATGCAACCAGCAGTCTCATAGTCTCTTAAACTTCCAAACTAGGCCTAAAGAGATCGCCTCCCCCCTTTACAAGGAGTACTCTTGTAGCCCATCTAAGTCTCGTAAAGTCTGTAGAAGCCGCTGATTCCCGAAGCCCTAAGCATCTAATCCCTAATCCCTGCTTAAAGGCTCATGGGACTCCAGTAAGTAAGGTTATAAGTAGGTTATAATTGGGATGACCCCTCTCAGGGGACTTATAACCCCAACTAAAGCCCACTAAGTCCCATGATCCTTCAAGCAATTAACCTAAACTCCCCCTTCTGGACTTCTGGAACCCCTTTAGATCCCTTAAAAACATCCTTTAAGAAAACCTACTTATGTGAGCTTTGAGGCTTCCAGATCCTTCAGCCTCAGCTCAGGTGTGCGCACGGACGATGCTTCTACAGAGGCCGCCGGACCTCGGCAAAACGATCTTCCTAGAAAATGACCCAGTATAGGGGCCTTAATAATTAGAATAGGATTCCTTTTGAAGGGGTCTATATAATGGGATCTGTAAGGGTACTATAACATCACTTAACTTAGGGTTCCCTTTTATACTTATACCGCTATTACCCCCGGTTCCTGCCTAAACCTCAAACGGCTGCTGGTTTCGGGGTTCGCCATTGTCCGGATTCCACACTTGATGTTGCAATGCTGCAGATTTAGTAACTGATGCTGCCACCGCCGCCAGAATGAACACTGTGCCAAACATCACCATTTTCCACATTTCCATCATCCTCATCACCACCGCAATGAAAAACGTTTTTCTTGATCTTGAAGGGGGCTTGATGGCACTCGAGCTGGAGAAGATAAAGAGCCCCAGTACACGCCTTATGTAGGACCACAAATTGCATTGGAGGATCCTCGTTAAAACCACTGCCCGATTGGGACCGACAAGTTCTGAGAAACCCGACGAATTGAACCCTAAACGCTTGGAAGCTGAACCCTCATAACGAAGCCGTGCCTGCCTTGTGCGAGTGCGCATGCCGCAACGCTTGGAAGTGTTTCACCTCAGCCGACTAAGAACCAACTCGCCGGGCTTGTCCGAGTGTGAGCGTCGAAACCCAAAAAGCCCGAAAAGGGAGATTCCTATAATAAGGATCCTACCATTTAGAACTATGGGTAGTTCTCTAAAATACGGTCCATTTTGAGGTCCGCAATGTAGTACGGCACCCTCATAAAAAGGATCCTGAAAGGGACCCTGTTTTAGAATATCAGAGTCCTCTATTTTCGGAAACTCCCTTTAAACATACCAGTTCAGAAAGTGGATTCCAAGTGCAGCCAGGATGAAGGCGAAGCATTGCTGCCGGAGTGTGAAGCCTGGAGTTGCGCTTCGTCCGGCACATCTATGTACCAGGACCCAGAGTAGGCCCTTATTCCCTTTTGTAGGGTTCAGGTTCCCTTAGAGCCCCCTTTAAGCCAAAAAGGGGCATCCTTTTTTATTCCTAGGTAACTTTCAGGTTTAGTGTATCTGCTTCATGTTTTGTAATTAGCATGTTGTATGTGTTGTATACATATGCGTTCATGTGTAAAGACTTAGACACATATACAGGTTGATGTGTTTAACGTTATGCGCAGGGACAGACAGACAGACAGACAGACACACAGACACACACAGACACACACAGACACAGACAGACACAGACACAGACACAGACACAGACACAAGCACACACACACACACACACTGACACTGTGTGTGTGTGTGTATCTGTCCATCTATCCCGCAGGCTTTAACTCTGCAGTTGAGGTAAGAGGAGCCATACAGTAGGTTGAAACTCTTGGATCCCGAGGTGCGCAATGCGGCTTGGTCAACGAGGTTTGTCCAGACATTTGCGCGCCCTGGCAAAAACACGGAGACAAGCAGGCTAATCATCATACCTGGGTTTTCCCTGCGGTGCGATCTTTCAGCTGGGCGGGTGGGAAAATACCACCCAGGTAAACTGCAGACTACCTATGAGTAACACTAGCCGAAGGTTTTGCTATCGTCTTGCTCCCAGGGGCACGATGGCAATGCCGCATGATGTTGAGGAATGGCATGACTTCGCTGCTTCTGAATGTCAGACCAAACGGCCTTCATCAACACCCAAACCCGACGGACGGTTGACGATCTCCGGCCGACGAGTTCGCATGGGATATCGCAGGAACTGTTGTAAATACTCTTTATTTGACGTTGGGCTGCAGCAACGTAAAGAATCCGGGTTTATTGCCGGTTTCAATTGCTCCCGCAGCAGGACATGTGAGTGCAAGACAACGAGCCAAGCTGTCAGTTTATAGCATGGTCGGATCGGAGGCAGTGATTATGAATTTATGCCTAATTATGTTTGCGCAGTCACAGAAAGAAGCCCTATACCCACCGAAATCCCTGCATCGTCTAATCTGACATAGCTCGTGATGTTCTTCCTACACCACGAAGACCTGACCCCAGAGGATTGCAAGCTTTATAGCTGCAGCCACAGCGCATGCGGACCGTCTCCACATTGTAAGCTCGTCATCTTCAAGAGCAACAAGACCTACACAAAGCAAAATCCCCTCACAGACCCTCACCCACCCCCAAACGCGAAGCCTCTAATCTTCTCAAAGGTGCTGTGCGAGGCCGGGCCGAGTATGACCCGAACTACTGGGGGTTAGAGGGAATATGACTAGCAATGGTTTCTATGTTGTGAAACACATACATTGAGGAACCCAAAGGTTTATTCCGATCCCTAGAACAGGTTTGGTCTATCAGTGAGCCCAGTGAGCCGTTGTCTCCGAGTTCGCGCTTAAGAGAGGATTCCTCGGCAGGGTTGTTTGGTTAACGACTGGTGGGTCACATGATGCAGAGGAGCAGTGTTGTGATCATGGCAGTCATGTCAACCCCTCACAGTGCCTCTGTGGACAGTGAAGTAGCATTCATGCTGAGCCCACGAATCCGAAGTGCTAGAAGATTTCATCGCAGCCGTTTGTGCGCTTGCATCCAAACGCCAGGCAGAGCCTTTCGTTGGCACTTTGCGTTTTTGGAATGCATGTTGATGACGTCGTGCGAAGCCAGCCTTGAAGGTTGTCTGCCCCCCCCCCCCCCCACAGTGCACACGTTTGTTCCGCATGCATGTACTCGCCGGTCCCCCCACATACATGGCTCTGTGCACACGCCGTCCTGCACGCATGCACACGCCGTCATGCGCACCCCCCCCTCTCCGCACACCAAGGCTGAGATCTGAGGTAGTCTTGCGCACCCCCGGGGCTGCGGCGTGGGCTATAAGACCTGCGAACCGGGAAACGCTCTAAGGTACCAATGCTCCGCACAATCAGCGCTGTGATCAATTTCAGTAGTTTTGTCCTAACTGGATCACTGCAACTCGGAAGGTCGCTGCGGCTTGCTATGCAACAATCTCATGTCTCGTTCATGTGGGCATGTTCCTGCACCTGGCATACAGGCTCCTGATTCAGGAATTTCGCACGATCGGATACGCAATGATGCTTTAAGGAAGCTGGCATGATGACCAGCCATGTCGCCTTGATCGCAAGTTGATTGCCTTAATTGTAATGACTGTGCGCAGCTATCCTTCTGCTGCATGTGAGATCTCAGTCCGTGCGGCACGGGATGGGAAGGCTCAGGTTGATTCATTCCCATCCGTGGTGGTGATTGCGGGTTAGTGCATTACATGTGCTGTGGGTTGATCTGCTGGTGCTCCGGACTACACCCGGTTGTGTTTTGCTTGTGCCGTGGATTGTACAGCTCTTGCATCCGTGAGCTATCGAACCAGAAGGGCCCGAGGTGGGACACTTAAGGTGAACAGCTTGTGCGCTTCGGACTTACATACCTCTCTGCAGGCTCTCACTGTTTTCCGGTTGTTGTTGACGTTGTACAGGGCGTGGGTGGGCGCTGCGCGGGCATTTCCAGTGATGACATGATACTTCGCGTTGACGCTAAACTGTCAACATGCAGTCCCTCTGGTATCTCTGTGGAGTGCTTGCTGCTGCGCTTACTTACTGCCCCGTTGTTGAGTTGCTGGATGTACCGTGCTTCTGCGTGGAACCAAGGAGTTTGGATCCACTAAGGAATGTCTTTACCACCCGCAGCCCATGAGAACATCAATCCTCGCCCGAAGCTATCTGTCATTAGCCACATCGTCATGAACGAGGCCATGGAGTGGCAGGGTGAACTGGCAAACATGGCGATGCAGATGTGGCGACAACAGTGCCTCCACAACTTTGGAGATGGGTCAATGTTTGGATTTGGCAACATGGCATGCTCACCTTGGGGGTTGGCTCCAAGTGTGCTTGGTGTTGACATGGGCAGAGCCAACTGGACACCTCCACCAGTTGCTCATCCGGCTCCACCCACTGACTATGTGCCGACAAATCCGTCTATGGCCACAAGCTCTATCCCGGAACATCGTCGCATGCATGAGCCGATGGAGCCCTCAGGTGTGGCGAATGAGATCTCACCATCGAAAACAAGGTGTAAATTCGGGAAGCGATGCACTCGTCCTGACTGTTGGTATCAGCATCCCGAAGGTCGGAACATTGACATGCCTGACGACAGTGCTCGGCGATCGTCACGATCACCAGCTCCCAAGCGCCGACGAAGGTTTCATCGTGATTCATCCTCCAGTGTAACACCGCCTTGTGTGCGAGGAGTCGCAGCTAAGCCCCACAATCACAGCGATAACGACAGCGGAGATGATGATCGAAAGGATTCGGACCACAGCCTCTCAAGAACCACATCTCGCAGTCAGCCACGCAGCAGTAAACCTCACCTCCTCCTCCGTGATGCGGATGTACCATGGCCCCGGGTGATCTCAGCATCGGGAAAGTTGAAGAACTTCAAGCCTGAATCGCAAGGATGGGCTCTTCACTTTCTGAACCCAGACCACCCAAGGATGTCCATCTCACTTCAGGATTTGTCTGCAGTGATTGGGCACCTTCAATCAGAAGGCTTAATCATGTGTGACCGGCCAACATTGGTATCTCCAGGTGTTCTCCAAGTCAAATTTGGGCGTGGCGGTGGTAACCTACAGGTGTATCCGGGTGCTACGGGGAGAAGTGCAGGAAATGCTCGCATTAACAGTTCACGTGAAGATCAAGTCCGTTCCATACGAGCGTCATTGCTACGCTCTCAATGGTTTGATGACGCAGGAGTTGGTCGTGCTTCCCCATTAGATGCCACAATCCACGCGACCTTGACGTCCAACGGCAAGCTTCTGCTACCATCGATCTCCACGGAAACTCGTCATGCAGACATCAAGGGGCTGTTCCAAGAAGTTGCCAAAAAATTGGGCCCCCAGGGCAAGATGGCACTTATGGATTATGTCAAAGAGTCGGGTCTACATGAAGGTCATGAAATCTGGCCCTTCATTGATGCAGCCTTTGTTACTCCAAAAGCCAAGAGGAAGACGAAATGACTACCTTCCGACAGCACCTCAAGCGGTGCAAATCTTGGCTTTCTCAATTGCGCGTGCTTGACTCATCGGGATGGGACAATGAGTGAAGCCAAATTGAGTGATGTGCTATCTTGCATGACGGATCATGGTTGTGATGCTTTCTTTCTTGCTGAGACAGGTGTCATGGATGGTACCCACGTTACACCACAATCTGGCTTTGACTTCGATTTCTGCAATGCTGAACGTGCGTTGCCAGGTTATGGGGTTGGGGCTATTTTTCGTGGGAGGCACCGTGGCAGATGGGCCAGGATCAGCACGAATCTTGATTACCGTAATTTTGGGGTGTGGATGCTTTCCATAAGCGAGCGTCCACTGCTGATTGGTGTGCTATATGCCCCACACCCGGGACATGGTCATGAAGTACGCTCTTCAGTCTTTTCACGAGTGCATGAAAGTTGGGTGCGCCTGATGGCGCAACATCAGCAAGCCGTTCCAGTCCTGCTTGGGGACATGAATTTGCCTACTTTTCTGAGCCCTAATCCTTCTCCGGGTTTGGCAGCCAGCGAGTCAGCACTGAACTGTTTGTTTCATTCTTCTTTCGTTCTGCAGCTGGGAGGTGTTGTCTTGAACCCACCTGCCCAACCTACCCACATCCGCGGGAACATCCTCGACTTGGCTGTGGTGTTTGATTGCCATCGAGCTTTCTCTTGCACAGTCATCCCACAACGGTTCGCAAACAGTGACCACTTTCCGATCTTTGTAAGCTCCTCATTGCGAATAAGGCCCGAATCCACAACATTGAAGTGGTGCACCTTCCGGGATTTCCCGGTACAGGCTTTTGTCGCTGAAATCTCCCCGAGCCTTGCTGTCTTGCATTCTTGGATGGCCCATCAACTTCAACCAGTGCCGCAAGAGGAATGTATCCTGAAAGACATCCTCATTCAGGGGTCAGTGACCTTTGGACTTCTACTTTTGGCCGTCCTCTACCAGACCAATTCCCCCTATGGCCGCTTCGCCTGCAACAACCGGCGGGGCCGTCGGCGTGGTTTTATGTCTTCGGCATTGCGGAAGGCGATTACATCCATGCGCAATGCCCGTGGGTCTGCTAGATTCTCGATATTGCGGCGGAAAGTTGATTCTTTGATGAGGCGATGCCGGCGCCGGCGAGTGTACTTGTCTGCGTTTCGCATCACCTCCCATGGACTTGTTCGGCCCACAAATGATTTGCATCAGTGGCTCAAAGACGACCTCAAACCAGGCTCATCAGCTTCGCGGTTCATCTCGATTGGAAACAACGTCCTTGAAGATCAGGTTGCGACGGATTTGTGGGTGGAGTTCCTCCGTTCGCAAACTTCATGGGATGGCCAATTGTCACCTGATGTACTCCTGCAGCTGTATGATGGTCATCTGTCTGAAGCTCCTAAGCTACCTGCAATGCCAGCGCATACCCAGGAAGACCACAGTGACTGCAAGCAGTGGCTGCGCAGCCTGCGATGTCAACCGCTTTCCTATCGTGCAAAGGCTCTCGTGCAATGGACTGAATTCTGTGATGCTGTTGAGTTCATGAATGGAGCTGCTGCTCCGCCTCCTTCTGAGCCAATCCCAGTTAGCATCCTGTCTGTCCCCTGTGAGCCTCTACGGGCTTGTTGGATCGGTTTGCTCAACTTGGTCATCTTATGTGACCATCTCCCGAGGATTTGGGCTACTGTCGTAGTTGCACCACTGCTGAAACCTGGGAAAGCTCGGAATCGCCTTGAGTCTCACAGGCCGATTTCGTTGATGCCCCTTGGTCTCAAACTGTTGGATCGCGTGTTGTTTTGTCGGGTCTGGCCCGTGATTCAGGATCAGGCTTTACCTTGGCAACTGGGAGGCAGCAAAGGCCCTGACCTATGCATAGCATTCATGGGAGATCTCCTACGGCTGCGCTTCAAACAGAAAGCGCCTTGGACAGTAATCTTTTTGGATGGGCAATCTGCCTTCTGTCGTCCACCTTGGCTGGCAGTTGTGTCTGGCATGCGCCGCATACCGGGCATCAGCGACATGGATATCCTCATTATCTTCACTCTACTTTCTGGCATACGCTCCAAGGTCGCCGTGTTTGGTTCCATGCATGGGAATTATAAGAATGAAGTCGGGCTGCCACAGGGAGGCGCTTTATCCACAGCGTTATTCGTGTTGCTCACGTTTTCACTGTATGGCGCTCTTTGTGACGCGGATACTGCTTGCCTGGCTTCTGGCAACAGCTGCATGTTCTCCGCCCCTGCGTGTGGCTATGTTGATGACATTGCTTTGTTGACATCTGCCCCTGCAGCAGCACAGCCTGCCTTAAAGGTTGCTTTTGAGTGGGCGCAAGGCATCCGCATGGTCTTCAACGTAGGTGTGGACAAGTCCGCATGCCTTGTTTCGTACGATGGGTCAGCCCCCACTGCAGATATGAAGTTTCCTGATGGTCAAGCTCTCCCGGTAGTCGATGAATACAGATACTTGGGAGCGCTGCTCACCGCAACGGGGAGGGTGGGTCGCAGTATACAGGATCTGGAAGAGAGGATCTTGCAGAAGACTGGTCCATTGATTGGGTGGGCCCGTGCCAACCAAATCCCGCTATCACATCTGGGTAAGCTGTGGAAGCTTTATGTCGAGCCGGGCATATGGTGGCTTGTTGCAGCTTTGCCGATCACTCATGCGCAAGCTGATCGCTTGGATCTTCTACAACGTAAAGTTGCACGCATGCTTCTGGGTCATGGCAAGCGCTCCCCGCTACCGTCTGCTTTGGCATGTCTCGGGTGGGTTCCATGGTCGCATCTTTTGGCGTGTGCTCGCATGAGCCTGCTCGCGCGTGCATGCGCTGACTCCTGCAACCTCATGGCGCAACTTTTTCCCATCGCGGTGACTGTGCCTGGCACTTGGGCCGAACAGGTCAGCGCGGACGTTCTTCATGCATTTGGAATCGAGGCTCCCCATGCGTTCACTGCATCCAAAGCTGAACTCAAGGACTTTCACAGCAGTTCTGTGCAAATTGGCTGGCAGCAACTTGTTGAGCAATGTGTGGTCCATCCCAATCTGACACACTTTCCGATTGAGTGTTTCAGAGGCTGCGAAATCCCCAACCCGATTGCTGCTATCTTCGAAGCTCCCAGCATCGGCCTGGAGCAGTCAACCCTAGCTCTACGATTGTTCTGTGGTGGCCAGGGGCTTCGAGCAGGTGATGTTGAGTTTGTGAGTGCTGACAGTCGAAACTGCTGCTTATTCTGCCTGGGAAATGGTTCCCAAGTAGCTGAGACATTACATCATTTCCTTTTGCAGTGCCCGCTGACATCGTATGCGCACGCGAACCTGTCAACATCACTTGTGCAGCAAATCACTGCGCCTCACACTTGGATGAACCTGCGGGCTTCTGAGAAGAAATTGCTTGTACAGGTCGTTTGCAGAAAGTGGCTCATTCGCAAATCATGGCTGCATGATAACCTTTTGCACAAGCGATCCACACGAGATGCGCTTTTGTCTCGGCTCTGGCCTTAATTCAGTCAAGTTTGCTTCGAGCTCAGTGCTTCTTTCAGTCGTTCTGCGTGCTGCCCGCTGAAGTGCTTGTGAGCTTCAGTTGACAGCTGGCAGTGCGTGCATCGTCACTCTCCGAGTGCATCTTGCTTTAGGCCACAAGAATAAAAAAAAATGTAGCTTGTGGGGCGGGAGCCACAAAACACCCTTAATCCCTTAAGCCTTAAGTCCTTCTAATGTAGGAATCTGATTAAGAAAGCTTGGGCCTTTATGAAGGTTCCATATATTTTTTTGGGGTTAAAGGCCCAGGTTTTCTTAATCAGGTTCCTACATTAACCCTCCAAAACCCTCAATGAACCCACGTTCTCAGCCCGAATTAAACGCTGGAAACCAAATCCCCAGCGCAGGCCACGCGAAGCCCCACCCGACGTCGCGGGAGCCTTGCGCAGCTCGCCATCTCAGGAGCTGTGAGGCCGCCCGTCTTTCGGGCTTGGGGATATAAATGTAGAGATAGATATAGCATATACACACACACACATATATATATATATATACATATATAGAGATGTAATTAGGTCCTTCAATGTTCTGGATTTCTGTTGCAGCTTTTACTCGTCAGAGCCTTGGGATGATGATTTGTAGTTCAAGGTTTTTGCGTTCCGGCATCTTGCTTTGAAGGTGTTTAAGTCTTCGAACCTGACCTCCTGCGTATTTTGCGTTTGGAGATCTTAAAGGTGTTGGTGTTTGACAAGTTCTGGCCGTTGGGTTCTTGGGTTTGCAGTTTGAGTGCCTCTGCGAGTTTCAGGAAAGAGGGCACGCATGGGCCTGTTAGGGTTTTTAGGCTATGGGTTGGGTGAGGGGTTTTCGGGATGGCCTCAAAAACGTACGTCGATTCGGGGGGGTCAGGATGAAGTGCGAGCAGACGGGGTTTGGGCTTTCAGGTTTTCGTGGACTCTTCGCGGCGGGGGGGTGCCGTCACGAAGTCGCGGCAATTGTCGGGTGACGTTGCGGTTGATGTGCCAATCTTGCGTGAAGATTTGCATGAACATGCTTGCCTTCGCCACGCTACTTCTCGTGTTGGCGCGTTGCCCTGATGTGCAGTGTGTGACACCAGGATTCCGCGTGGTTCGTCATTCCATCGTTGTGCCCACGGGTCGACATGCCTGGCGGTGAAGCCAACGGTGCTGCCAGTAGGGAGTCGGTAGTCGCCCAGGGTCTTACTGAACGGTCCACCTGCCCACAACTCACACGTTTCACACGCTTTGTGTGCGTGCCTCGAGATGAATTTGCGCGAATCCGTTTTCGCAACTAAATGTGGCCAAGGCTGCATTTTATATGGCCTCTTTCAACCATGTCGGTGTAAACCAAGGGGAACACCGGAATTGCATCTGTTGCATCAGCCGATGTCGCTCTGATGGTATGGTGAGTGCAGAGAGCGAGTATACTTCGCCAGAAGATATACGCAGAACCTGACTGAAAAGTCAAAGTAAGATCGAGCTAGGAGGGGCCGATGACCGTCAAAACTGAATCCCTGCAGGTCCCCATGGTTAACGTCCAGCTTGTGATGTCAATACAGCGGGTGATCAACACAATTACATCGTATAGCCACGAGGTCACAGTCACAAACGCCATATTCTGCCGCCGCGATTAGAGGTTGCATAAGCTGAAGACGAAACACCCATTCTTCGCCCAGCGACTTGCCCGCATTCCTAGCCAAAATGGCCTTAAACCCCCGAGAGTCGTTTTGTGGGTTTCAGCGTAGGTCGAAAGCGCCACCTCCCATGCGCCATGGTCCAGTTCGCAGGCGCATTGTCGGCACATTCTCAGTTTCAGAATCAGAAGCCGAGGTCAGTCGATGCTGGTACCACAGCGTAGCCAGGGCAGCCTAGGTCTTACTTGAACAGAGCTAGCACACTGTCAGCAACACGAACGGTAACAGTTTTATTATATGGGCTAGAAGCTGAGCCTCTGGAGATCTGGAGGATAAAGCAATGCCAACATAGTAGCAAGTCAAGCTTGAGCGAAGGCTCGGCTGCTGCCGATGCTGAAGCAAGAAAAGTAGTCCAAGACAGGCCTTACGCACCTCACTCAGCCCAGCTGCCCCATGCTGTCCCAGACCGTTTAGATTAAAATGCCAGATGCTTAATAGGTGTACAGTACCGGAGACATATAGGCTTGTGACACCTTTCGCCTCAGTCCTGGCGCCACTGAAACCTAATTGTAAATACCTCGGCGTCGTCCGGCCGAGGGTGGTCGGACTGCCCGAAATCCAGTGGTCAGAAGTGCTTGAGAAGAACACAGCCGCACTCGGCTTTGAACTGAAATGCTCTCAAGCTGCAGCCGCCTTGAGCTACTGGGCCGGGCTACGCGGTGCAACATCCGAAGTCAGGTGATCCGAGTGCGCGAGTCCACTGCGATGCCCTGGGCTCAGACAGAAGGCTTTGTGCATATCGGGATCCATTTAACGGGTCCCTGTTGTGGTCTTTACCATACGAATAACGGCGTTTTTTGGGAATCCAAAGAAGGGATCCGGACGTAGAGAATTACTCATATCCGCTGAAGTAGCTTGCACGCCTTCATCACGGATCAAAACGGCTTAAAGTGTGGTCGAGCACACAATTGTGCCCAATCCACGGTGCTAAATGTCGGCTTGGGCTAAATACAAAGCCAGCATTGTTATCACAATTGTTATCACAAGGACCCATCGCTCAAGGCTCAGGATCTCTCCACGGTCTTTCCTCCGCCCAGCACAAGGCCATGAAAACCTGAGAGTTTACCTAAGTCATACATAATCTGGACACTTTGCCCAACAATCAAGACATTCTGGGCCCTCCTGTACTTTGCTTGTGCTCGGGCTTCAGCTCAGGAAACGGCAAGCATTTTCAGGGCTCCTGCTGCCCAAACCCAGATGCTCTTTGGATCTCAGGCCCTGCGCTGCTGGCACGCAGACAGAAGAGCTGCGGCCAAGAAGCTTCAGGTGTAGCGCAGTCATCGCTCGGAATGGAAGCTAAAACCGGCCGAGAAAGCAACATGCAGGGAGAGTATATCATATATCATCTGTATCTAGAGAAACCTAAAACTGGGTCTTGAGCCACAAACATGGCGTCGGCCGAGTGCTGCCTGATCAGCTACCCTAAGATGGGTGGCATCCTTGGGAGCTGTTTCACTGGACGGCACAAATCAGTGCCTCCGAATGTCGAATGCCAATAGTCTCGAAAAGGCGACTATTGCGGGCTCCGTGTTCGTTCAACCTCTGAGTCCGCCCTTCCAGTCCGAGCAGAAAGGCTTCGGACGCTTAGGGCTGGAGGGGTAATAGGATCGATGAAGGATCCTATAATGATGTGCTTGCCATTTTATTGGCCAATGTTTTCCGATCTTTTGCCGATCGGTTTTATCGTACAGGTTTAGGCCAAAGTTCTGTTCGTCACCTGGGGTTCTTTCTTTAGGATGCTCCGAGAACTTTGTAGGTCCAGGGGAGCTCCGGAGCATGCTAGGGCTTTAATCACGGATTGCCAACGGCTTAAAGTAAACAAATCCAATTTCTGTGATGTGAGGCTGGAAATCAGATTTTTGCATGGAGAAGGGCCCAGAGGTGTCTTTCGAAGAGTCAACCGTTTCTGCAGGGTTCTTGAGCTTGTTTGCGTACTCCATATCCTGCGACAGCACCTAGACAGACTGCACATGTCGCGGGCGAATATTGATCTGACTTGCTTCTTGTGGCTTTCGCTGTAAGGTTGAGACTTTATTCGGGAGGCGCGAACATTCGGCCCCAGGTACAAGCCGGATCGGGCTTCTGGGAAGCCGACACCTGAAAGCCCGAATCCGTGATCCGACCTTCGAATCTGCAGATTGTTGGTGCGAGTTGTAAACGTTACCGAACACCCTAAACCCTACACTCCAAAGCCTCTGAACCCGAATCCAAAGCAGAGGGAAAGGTGCTGATGCAACCCAACTGAACTACCCAAGACCCCATAGTAGCTCCTTTTGGGGGTTCATATTTAGAATCTTATGAGGTAACCCCAACAGGGAACTACTATGGGGTTGCTGGGTAAACCCCCGAAACCCGACTAGGGAAGTTATCAGGTTACAGGGCTGCGCTGCTGGGACGAGGGTGTGGAACTCGGCAGATCTGGAAGATTTGGGAGGTCTGAAACATGGTGAAAGACTGAGAGTTTGCTGTTTGTTTTTTGTTTTTTTTTTCTTTTTGGGGGGTGGGTGGGGTAGGGCTTCAGGGTTTAGGGCTTTATTCAGGGTTTGGGTTTTACGGTTGAGGACTTAAGGCCTGCTCCAAAGATGAACAGAGCCAAAGGGGGCTTACGGGCTGAGGGGATTCGGCGCAGTCGATCGCAGCATCCGCATAGATTCAGAGATGTGATCTCTCTATCCCGGGATCCTCTACATCGTAGTCGTAGTTGTGCATCGGTGGTTAAACGTAAACAGGCGGGACTATGGTGCTTGCCTGCTGTTGATTTCGAAGGAATGGCACAAAAGGATGCCTGCGAGACGACCGCTCTCAGCAATTTGCAAATTTACTGCTTTTCAGCAGTCCCTTATGAGTTCCAAGATCTTGCGAGCCCGAACCGCTGAACGAGGTTATGCACTTGCTTCCCCAGTCTGCTTCGGCACAGCGCGACGGCGTGCTGCCCTCAGCTTCAGCGCGGGTGGTGATTGCGATAGGCTTCGCAAGACTCGCAGCGCACCTCGAGCTTGGAACATACCAAAGCGGTCACGGCGGACTGTGCCCATAGTTGTAATTGCAGTCCACTGAGTCCACTGTAGACATGTACAGTGCTGTAAGATTAAAAGTGCAGCAATCAGCAATCAAGATTCGGTGCTGGCTGGTACTGCACACTGTCTTGTAACACGACAGCTGGCAATATTTTTGGCCATGTTGCTGCTTCCTCTGCAGCTGTCAGTGAGTATTTGATACTTCCGTTCGTTGTGACGAGAAACTGTAGTCTATAATCGCAGTGCGAGTTAGATGTTTACCGGCTCAAAGAGCCAGCAGGAACCCTAAGTACTAGTGATTGAACAGAATCACAAGCGGCAAGAAGTAACATAGTAACATGGTTTCAACTCAGATCCGCAGTAGTGATACTATTGGAGATCGCGACCCAGTGGGGAGGTAAAGGAAGGCAGTCATCACCGTATCCGCAAGCAGGCACCTCCAGCTTCCAAACCGCGGGGAGTGAGAGTGAACAGCACAAGGTAAGACCATGGAAGCTACTGTAAAAGTTGCCCTCTTGCTAAGAAATCAGTCAGATACAGGAACATGGACGACGATGCTTGATAATGCTGCTTGCAGTAAGGCTAGAGTTCCCTTGCCCTCTAGTCTTAAACGGCCCACGAAACTTCTAATATTTAGGGTACCCAAAAAGGGGCCATAATTTTGACAACTGCCCATATCCATTACAAGTATCACTTTTCGGGATCAGGCTCTCGCTCCCGCTCCTGCGTGTCTCTTGCGCTCTTGCTCCGGAACCCCGCTAGTCCATCTTTAACAGGCGAGGATTTCGGGGAGGCTTTCTTTCCGATTTTTTGTGTTTGTTAAACCAGAGAAGTGATGATACAGGCACAAGGAAAAACCCGTAAGACCTGTGTAAGTGCTCGTATGACGTAGCACCTGTGATGTTCCAACATGGACAGCATGTAGCAAGAGTAGCATCGGACTGGCATATCGTAGCGCAGTCAACATCAGCATCAACGTGCCACCTTCTCGTACTACTGTTTCTACGCTCCTGCTGCTTCTGCTACACTGCTGCACTGTCCACTTTACCTTTACGTTACTACGGTTGAGACTGCCACCACCACTACTACCACCACCATCACCTCTTCTATCCTGCCACTACAAAGTACTGGGGCCCAACATGCCCAACCAGCACCTGCAAGCACACACTTGCGAGCAAACGCTGGGAGAATTGACAGGTTAAGTCAATGGCACGGTGGAAGACAAAGCGTTACCAGAAGCAAGAGCTCTGAGACGTCAAGTGCAGGATGTGCAGGAAATGTTCGTGGGGCCAGCATTCGTGCCGGTTCTATGTTCGGCAATGCTGGCATTGCTCACTCTGTGTTTGCGTTCCTGCTCTCCACTCAAAACAGATTAGGTCGGGCAATGGATGCCCCCACTCAAGACAGGTTACATCGATATACATAAACCATGGACGTCATCATGGTTGCGCCATGGATGCTCTCCACTCATAGCGGATCAGACCCTGGACGTCATTGTGATTGCATAGATGTGTTGAATTCAAAACGAATTAGACGATGGATGGCGTCATTGGCGTCATGGTTGGTCCATGGATGACCTCATGGAGAGAAAGTCTCGAGCCAACATTCGGGCGAAGCCCGCGAACTTCTAGTGCTGGTATTGTCACTTGCTGTTCCAGTACTACAACTGCTGCCACTTCTACTGCTACCGCTCTAGTGAGTAAGTGGGGTTCTCCAAAATAGCATTCCTTGCTAAGTCCCGTGATCCTCTAAGTACTACCACTGCTGCTGCCTACTACTAATACTGCTACTACTACTACTACTACTACCACCTCGACGACGACTACTACTCTACCACTACGACTACGACTACTACTTTCTCTTACTACTACTCTTACTGACTCTTACTCTTACTACTAACTACTACTACGACTACTACTAATTAGACTAATCGGGGTATTTATTGAGGCGTGAATGCAGACTTATTCTGCGTAGGAAGCATGTAGAGGTATGTTCATCAGAACAAACTTTCGTCCATAATGTTTATACATACACATATACATATGTACACACATTCTACAATGTTCACGTCACCGTCATTCCGAGTGTTCAAGTATACATGAATCTGGAGAGCTTCGATCTTGTTCGTTCAGACTTCGAGGCCATTCTTCTATCGGAGCTTGCCAACAAGGCTTGGTCCTACAAGTGCACGACAGTTCCCGCAAGGTTGAACCCAACACCAAGCCAAGCTTTGAAAGTTTGCAGCCCGGCACACTGACACTTCCGTCCTTGGATTGTCAGAGGTGCTCGAAATCCGCACTCTAAAGCATGCACATCAAATCAAAGTTTCTGTAGACCTCATAGGCGGTTGCATGCAGCGGTCTTTGTGACGCGGCGGTGCCGACTCGCGAGGACTCTGCCGTGCGGGCGGAAGCTTCAGCGCGCAATGCCGTGGGTCTGGGGGTCGGGAGCCAAGCTGAGCTGCAAAGTCCTATTAATTCGGGCGAGCTTAATAACTCTTATTATGCGTACTTGGCGGAAGGTCTCGATTATGCGCTCTGTGCAGGGCAAGCTCCCTGCCTCTTGAGCGATGAGCATGACCTCCTGCTTGGAATTCAACTGCCCGTAGTGGCCAAGTTTGAAGATTGAAGCATGAGTAAGTGTGTGGAGCGTGCAGGATGGTCATGGGGGAGATGTTGGGGTCGCCATAAGAGCATCCCTAAACCCTAAACCCTAAACCCTAAACCAGTTCTCCACAGCCAAGATCGAACCCTGGCCTCGGCTCAAGCAAATTTTGGTGCATTGTCCTCGCCTGTTTTCCCTAACTCCGCCATCTGCGATCATGACCACCGCCGGTGTGTCTTTGTCATAGTTGGGTAACCTTTTGCATTTTTATGGGTACTTAAACCCAATAAGGAATAAAGATGTGAATTTTAATCCTATCCCAACCATGAGCTACCCAGAATCCCGGGAGGATCTAGAAAGTAGATCCCCTAATTTGGGGCCCTGTACCACTAAGGGTACTTTATTGAAACCCCCATTAAGGGATCTACTTTTTGGATCCTCCCGGGGGTCTGGGCTAGGTGTGGGATCCCAACCAGCATGGCATTGACATGAAGCGCAAGTCCTCCTTCTCGCTGCTGGACCAGATCAAGCGGCCCATGGACGGTGCAGACGAGAATCCGGACCAGAAGGAGAAGATGGAGACTAGGTAGGCCTTTGGAAAATTGTCCTGTTTTCCTTAATTATTGGGCTTTTTAAGAGGATCTTCTTTAGGATTTCAGTGGCTTTAAGGGGGCCAGCCGAGGAGAAGCTTTGGAAGCTGATGGAGACCTATGAGCCCAACGATCCAGAGTCCATCCAGAAGTCTTTTGCCAGGCATTTGGAGTACTCCTTGGCCTGCACGCGCTTCAACTTCACCATGCAGGATGCGTGAGCCGTTTCGCTAAACCTTATGAACCCTGCACCCTAAACCCTAAACCTTATAAACCCTACACCCACCCTTCGTCATGCAGGATGCCTACCGAGCAGCTGGTTTGGTGCTCCGGGATCGACTCCTGGAGTCATTGAACGATACCAATGCCTACTACAGGAAGATGGATGTGAAGCGAGGATGCTTGGCTCTGGTTAAGTGAGTTTAGTCTAAGTTACCATGATAGGGGATCTATAGTAAAAAGATGATTTTCCTTCTTATGGTAGCTTAGAATGAATCCCTGAGCAAGCGAGCAGGATACTACCTGTCTGCCGAATACCTGATCGGAAGACACATGCAGAATGCGATTGCGAACCTCGATCTGGAGCAGCCCTTCAAGGAGGCCTTTCACGCACTCGGCATGCAGCTGGAGGACCTTTTCCACGAGGAGGTGGACCCAGCGCTGGGCAACGGTGGCTTGGGCCGTCTTGCCGCATGCTTCCTCGACTCCATGGCAACTTTGTCGCTGCCTTGCTGGGGCTACGGCATCCGATACAGCTATGGCATGTTCAAGCAGGACATCCAGAACGGCCGTCAGGTGGAGATGCCTGATTTCTGGATCGGGGATGGATGCCCCTTCGAGATTCCTCGGCCGGACATCACCTACCCAGTGCGGCTTTACGGCGAAGTGCAGGAGGGCCTGAATGCCAAGGGTGAGTGGTGCTTGAACTGGGTTGGTGGCGACATCGTCCAGGCGATGGCATACGACAATCCCATTCCTGGCTTCGACACCTACAACACTAACAATCTCCGATTGTGGCGCGCTTGCCCCTCCAAGGAGTTCGATTTGGACCAGTACAGCGCCGCGAACTTCACCGATGCCGTGGAGGCACGCCGAAAGGCAGAGGACCTGTCTGCCGTCCTCTACCCGAACGATGCGAGCTACGAGGGCAGGGAGCTCCGCTTGAGGCAGCAGTACTTCTTCGTAAGTGCTTCGCTGCAGGATTTGCTGCGCGAGTTCATCAAGCGTCCCAACTACAAGTGGTCGGAGCTGCCGGAGAAGGTGGCAGTGCAGATGAATGACACACACCCGACCATTGCTGTGGCGGAGTTCATGCGCTTGCTGGTTGATGTGATGCACGTGCCTTGGGATGAGGCATGGGAGCTGACCACGAAGTGCTTGAACTACACCAACCACACCGTGATGCCCGAGGCGCTGGAAAAGTGGCCAGTCGAGATGATGACCCGCATGTTGCCCCGCCATGTCCAGATCATTGGCGAGCTGAACCTCCGATGGATTAACGGTTTGGTGGCGAAGTACGGCGACGGGCCCATCATCGCGGCTTTGAGCATTTTTGAAGAGGGCGATGTCAAGAAGATCCGCATGGGCAACTTGGCCATCATGGGTTCCAACAAGGTGAATGGCGTCGCCGCACTTCACACAGAGATCATCAAGAAGGAAACCTTCCCTGACTTCTACAAGTACTGCTGCGACACCGGCGCACCGGACAAGATCGTGAACATGACCAACGGTGTGACACCCCGCCGTTGGGTGCACTGTGCCAACCCTGCGTTGAGCGCAATCTTCACCAAGTATCTTGGCTCCCACGAGTGGCTGACGGACATGACGAAACTCAAAGGCATGCTGAAGTTCAAGGAGGATCCAAAGCTGCATTCCGAGTGGATGGAGATGAAGAAGACCGCCAAGAAAAAGCTTGCAGGCTTCTTGAAGGAGACGCTGGACCTTGAAATCGATCAGGATGCCCTTATCGACATCCAAATCAAGCGCATCCACGAGTACAAGCGGCAGTTCATGAATTGTCTCTATGTTATCCACCGTTACCAGCAGCTGAAGAAGATGTCCCCTGCTGAGCGTGAGAAGGTGCAGAAGCGCGTGGTCTTGATCGGTGGCAAGGCAGCATCCGCCTATGTGAATGCAAAGCTCATCATCAAGCTGATCAACAATGTTGGCAAGGTGATCAACAACGATCCAGACACTGGCAAACTCCTGAAGCTTGCTTTTGTGCCGAACTACCGTGTGTCCGCAGCCGAAGTCCTGATCCCAGCTTCGGACATTTCGGAACACATTTCCACTGCAGGCACGGAGGCAAGCGGAACCTCCAACATGAAGTTTGTCATGAACGGTGGCCTGATTGTTGGTACCATGGACGGTGCCAACATTGAGATTCGCGAGGAGTGTGGTGAAGACACCATGTTCATTTTTGGCTGTTTGGAGCACGAGGTTGCCGGCATTGCAGCAAAGGCGAAGGAGGGTCACTACCCGATCGACAGCCGACTGCAGGCCGTTTTCCAGGCAATTCGCAACGGCGAGTTCTCCAAGGGTGAGCCGGAGGCTCACGCCGAGTTTTGCTCGCTGGTTGACAAGCTCTGCAACACGCACGGTGCAGGCACCTGGGATGGTGACAGGTACCTGGTGGTGCATGACTTTCCTTCCTTCGTTGATGCCCAGGCAAAGGTGGACGCAACCTACGCGGACAAAGCCAAGTGGTGCAAGCTCAGCATCCAGGCGGCCTCCTCCATGGCGAAGTTCTCCACTGATCGAACTATCTCGGAGTATGCTGACGTGATCTGGGGCGTCAAGCCTGCACCACGTCCCATGGAGATGTGAGGTGCCTGTTCCCGCATATTTTGGGGCTGCGAGGGTGGCGACCGGTCACGGGGAGATCCTGTGGCTGTCTCAACCCAAGAAGGCCCGACCATGTTTTAACCTCAAGCGTTTGCTCCAGGCACAGATCATCTATGGTCCGTCTATGGCTGTTGACTCTTGCATGTGCAGTAACAACCAACGTCCCAGCGAGAATGCCCGCTTGTTTTTTCTACCCCCCTACCAAGCGTGCCTGGTTGCAGGATCGGCAACCATCCGAAACAGGTAAGCAGAAGCCTGCTCCGGTGGCTGTCGTATTGATTTCCGTTCTCAGACGCACCAAGTCTTGAAAAACCTTTCTGCTCGTGACGGAGTCCGGGTAGGAGTCGTTCCGAGCTCAACAGGCTAGCCTGTTTTCGCATCCCGCATGGCGAAGAGCCAAAAGGACCCGAGCATCCTTTGCAACCTGGGCAAGCAGACCTCTGTTCTGCCGAGTTCAGCAGTGTCATGGCTTTTCAGGCCACTATGGGACCGTTATCTAGATCATGCTTCGCCATAACCTGCTCGTAGGGTACGTTGTCTAGGCCTCTCTGAAAGTTGTAAATTAAACTATGTGGGCCCGTTCTAGGCGAGGTTCGGGGATGGCACAGTGTTGAAGGCTCTGCTGGCACTAGGGGACCCTAATATAGTACCATAAATAGCTGGATTCTCATTATAAGTATATGTTCAACCCGTCCGCCCCGAGACCTTGTCCTTTACGCATTCAGGTCTCGGCTTTGCGTTGGCTTGCCACAACCTCTTCCCTGCAGAAGGGCCATTCGCTGTTGCACCAGATGTGCTTCGGCAGAGTTCAGCAGCTGTAAGGCAAGGCTCAAGCGTTGGACATATATAAGTATATATAGCGTCGAAGGCTTCAGAAGATCCCCTGATGGCTATGTACCCACTCGGATTCTGAACAGCATCCGATGTTAACTATGCAGGCATATTTCCCCAAGCCTTTACAAACACTGCACCTCACTCTAATCATTATTGCTTCCCTGTTGGATTCTGGATACCGGGCACTTGCCTCCGGAAAAGTGGTTCGACATAAGCTGCGCCAGAGGAACCCCTCCAAGTCGGCTTCGTGCTACTTTGAGTTGAAGCGATTGCCACAGTACAGGGGCTTTGATAATGAATAGCACTATTTCTTATGGGTTCCTGATCAGTATACCCCCACACCCTGATCTGACACAGGGCCCCATATTGCATACCATGCACCGCGGAAAGAGCCTTAATGCCTATAATAAGATATAAGATGGACCTAACAAGTCCTATTTAAGGAAGTCTAATAGTTCCCTACCCCCCCGCCCCCCTACACCCCAAGGGGTCCCTGTGACTCTCTTTCTCTCTTTCTCTCTCTCTCTCTCTCTCTCTCTCTCTCTCTCTCTATATATATATATATATATATTATATTATATACATACATCTTAGCACAGCCGTACATGTATGTATTTATTTCTTCATATACGTGTTCATGTATCTGTTTATGTGTTGAATGCTGTAATCTGGTAACCATTCTGCCCATGTTTTACTAGATGTCATCATAATTTCTGTAGCAAGATAGTAAGCCCTAAACCCTAAACCCTGTAAACTAAAAAACCCTATAAATTGTTTAGACTTCCAAGGAGTCCGCCCCAGCAGTTCTCGGAAGCCTGCTCTGGGTGCTTCCGGCTCCTGGCCGTCCTGTGCCAGAGGAATTCGGGCCGCCAGGTGGGGTTTTTTAAAGCACAAAGGAATCCCTTCCTGAGTGGCCTTTATAGTCTTTCATTCTCTGAAACGCATTTATTTTATGCATCCTACGTGGGTTCCATCACTGCGTTTCAGACACTTGCAGGTCAGCTTTTCTGAGCTTTCCGGTGTTTTGAGGGTAGTGCTATGGGCCAAACGCTGCTTAAGTAGATTGGTGCGTGCTGTCTAGGAAAGGCTGTGGAAGTGGTCCTTGGAAGAGCACTAGCACATTCGCCTCTGTGGCATTCCGTGACCCAGAGTCTTGGGTGCACTCTACACCCCAAATCCTCAACCTTGTGCGGCCTGCTAACTGCTAACCCTTCACAACTCCCTTCTTCGTGAGACCTCCCAGCGGTGGAACGGAAGGAGCACTACACAAGGGCCCCAATCGCTGATGTTTTGAAATCAGAAGCCCCCTGTTTGGCCGACATGTCATATACTTTTTCTCTACCCGCCCAAAGTAGTAATCGGCGTTTTATGATGACTTTCCGACTTCAGGTGTTGTTGTACATTAGTTTGTTTTGCTCTCCAGCCAGGCCCACGCCACGGAGGTTGGAGGGTTGCAGGCTTGCTTGCAGTGCATGCCATGGGCCCCAGCGGCACAGAATCGGTGAGATGACTGGTTCAGGACTTTTGCAATCTATATGGCGATGACGACGAGTTGTTTCCATAATTACTTGTGCAGGGCTCTGCATTGCGGGTGTCAGAGTTGAAAACGGAACTCAATCTGGCACACTTTCATGCACGCTTTCACCACGACACGAATGACTTGAGGTCACAGCCTATGTTGCGGAGTGCGGGGCCTTAGATCCAGAGTCTTGCAATCTTAAATTATGGTTTCGGGTTTAAAATGCCAGCCCTTCCACGGCAAGCCCAAAGCGCACTAACCCGGCAGAACTGTTCTCTTTTATGTTTGCCGAACTGCTGCAGGAACAAAGGCCTCGAAGCAATCACTTGAAAGCTTTGATCGTTTCTCTGGCAGGTTCTTTGACCTGCAGATCGCTGACTTAATTAGATTTGGCTTGGTTTTGATCTGAGCAGACCGTCCAACCTGATGCTTGGCCGCTGTGAAGATGATGATAACCCTCTAGCCTTCCGCACCCGAAACATTCTCGAAGGTCATGACACGGCCATTCACGGCTGCTGGCTTCTGATGGCTCTGTGCATCTTGGCTAGTGTGGTATCGTGCAGGAGAGTAGAGTACAGTGCACTAAGGTATGGCAGGAACATAGTAAGTACATCTTACCTTGGGCACAGTGCATTACAATATAGTAGATCTTGGCAGTATGGGGGATGGTATGCCAGGGGAGGTTCAAGAGCCGATACTCGGAGGCTCGATTGTACAAGCTATTTTGGTATCGTGTTTGTTATTGCGATGATGGTAGTTAAAACGGATGATAAACATGATTCCTGTTAAGGGATATAGGTATAGGGCTCTGATGTTGATGGTGATGATGACGAAGGAGATGACAACGATGGTGATTAGCTAGTCTCGTGGCGGAAGATGATTCCTATCGTTAGTGTTGCCGTCGTGAGTTTAGTAGTTAATAGTATCACCGATACCATTCTTCATTCCCATTGCCATGCGTATCATTTTCAATGTTATTTTTCTTAGTACACTTGCGCAGGTCACAAGCATCCGAGCAACCAGGCCTCCGTCGGCAAACTCTTCTCAGGGGTTCTACTTCAAGACTCCACGGTGGTGCCATGACTCCAAGCCGGTAAACCCAAAAGCCTCCAATCCCTGGGGTCCTAGAGCTGAAAGTCCTGTACTACAAACTAGTTCGTGGGCTTGAGTGGGGTTTACTTCGGATAACTGCTTCGGTTTGAGAGTGTTGGCCATGTCATCATCCTCACTCCTGTTTCAATAGCGACTGCCCGATGTGAATCCCAAACGGTGGTGATATTTGGAGAGCCCAACTTCTGGACTGACGGAGGGTCGCGGGAATCCTAGGATCGGGAGGCTGGGTCCTGACAGCATTAGGCGTTGGAAACTTTAGGACCAGGGATGGAGGACCGGCTTCATGGAAGTTGCAGGTGGAAGCAGAGGTGGATTAGCCTGCAGGTGGCTTCCGACATCTTGGCTCAGGTACTGTAGTACGTTATATGGACCATGGATCGTGAGCTTGAAGCCATGGAGCTGTAACCCCGGAGTTCGTTTCCAATTCAAGGGGTCCTTGGCACCGTAGCCTGGGCGACCAGCCCTAACCAGCAGACTCTTATGCCAAGCTGCCGTGCTGCTAGGTTCAAATCCACTCCGACAAGAAGCGCTGAACTCACACCCAAACCCTTTAACCCCAGACTCCAGACACCAAGCCCCAAGCAGCCCTGAACCCATTGCACCCATCCTGCTCCGGGCATGGCCTATGACAGCGCGACAGCTGCCGACACACTCCGGGCGCTGGTGACAGCGCGCGCCGACTCGCGCACCTCGTCGCAGTGCGGTTCTCTCGTCCAAGTTTCCACGTATCAGTGTGTGCGTGTATGTGTACTTGTATGTGTGTCGTGTGTACAATGCATATACGCAGCACACGTCTTCAAGCTGTGGGCTGTCGGTTTCCGTTTGTGTTGGTGCTTTGTGTGGCTGTGTGCGCAGCTCAAGCCTTCGGATCTAGTTTGCTGTAGTTAATCAAGAGCCTCGTTTCCTGATCGAACCGCTACAAGCGGCAGCTGTACGAGCACCCACCGAGTCCGGGAAGCCATCCCAGGTCGGGGTCCCGGCTAGGGGCAGTAGCCATATTATATGTACAGGGTGCTTCTCGGAATGATGGAGATCACCGCTGAAATCGGCAATATAGTTGAGGCATGCTGAGGCTGTCAGGCTACACGTATGCAGCACACTCACTACGGTGGGTAGATCCGCTGTTGAAGCTGTGCACACGTGGAACCTCAGGCAATGGTCGTCGTCCGAGTTCTGCCTCACCGGTGGGAATGGGGAGGGACGGGGTCCGTTCCGACTTGAGACGCTTAATGGGGAATTTCGATTCGTCTTGGAACAGAGAGACTGAGTTTGGCTCCATGTTGACACAGAGGCAGGTCCTAAAGGCGGCATCCCTGGTCCAGGGATGCCTGTTGCTGCTGATAGCTTCAGTTTTGATTTGTGGTAGTGGTGACGATGCTGCCGGTGACTATGATGATGATGGTGACGAGGGCCATTCTGCATGAAACAGAAGGCTGGAATGATGCGGCCATCGCGATGGGCGTTGTGATGGCCATGATGAAGAAGAGCATGCCATGTCATTCAGTATGGGTCCATAGGAGTCACTTGGCCAGGCTGGCAGTGGGCCCGAGTCTCTTCTAAGTAGCTACGGCCCTGGACAACAGCCTGAATCCTTGAATCGCCACTACCTTGTAAACCCTAAACCCTAAACCCTAAACCCTACCCACAGATGCAGTGCCCCAGTCCACAAAGCTTGAGAATTGGAGCCAGGAGCCCCTGCCATACTCTCCACTGAACACAACGAGCCCTTAAAAGCCTTAGCCAAGTCTGAGAATCTAAACCCTGAGCCCGAACCCCTAAAAACCCTGAACTCTAAACCCCTAAACTTTTTTTTTTAAAAAAAAACCTAAAACCCTAAACCTCGAAGTCGTGTTCCTCGCAGCTTTGCAGGTGCTCCATCGATCGCAGCTCGTGCCTGAACTGCAAGCAGCCCCACCCCTGGTAGCCTCAAGGAACCCTTAGGGTTCCTTTACGGGGTTACCATAAGGGTACTATAAGGGTTCCTTTACAGGGCTCTATAAGGGGCTTAGAGTTTCCGAAAATTAAAAAGCATCCTGCTATTTGGGGTACATTAGGGAGCACTATTTTCGGAACCCTTCCCCCCACACTTTCGGTGACTAAGGTTTGGGGTCACCCACCCTTTAGCCTACAAGCATAGCCGAGCGTGCTGTTTGCAGGCTTCTGAGAGAGAGAGAGAGAGAGAGAGAGAGAGAGAGAGAGAGAGAGAGAGAGAGAGAGAGAGAGAGAGAGAGAGAGAGAGAGAGAGAGAGAGAGACAGAGAGAGAGAGAGAGAGAGCGAGAGCGAGAGCGAGAGCGAGAGCGAGAGCGAGAGCGAGCGAGGGGGGGGGGGGGTTTAGGGTCAAGACGGCTTCCGGGCTTGGGGCATCGACCCACTTCTTGAGCTAGGTCTTTACACGGACATAGGGGTCGGTTGGATTAGTACTATTTATCCATCATAGTCCCAAAAATACTTGAGTGTATATTGTAATATGCACCCAAATCCTATATTCCGAATGTCGGTCCTCAAAGATAGTTTGCATCTTCAAAAGATGAGCTTGGGCAAGCATGCGAAGTTTTGAACACCGTGATAACCGAGTAATCCGAGTTATGATCTCAACGGATCCGGCTGCACAGCCCAATTCAACATATGTGCTGTTCACCCACGTGTTTAACCAACCTAGATGTTGTCGGAAGGTGCAGTGGTGACTAAAGGTGTCATAGTTTATGAGTGATGCCGCGGCTTTGGTTGGTATGACTTTGACCGGTTTATCCTAGAGCGCTAGTTACTCTAGTTGCCCAAATTAATGGGTTGCCGGGGTACACCATAACCTACTATTTGACTGAGTACAAGTGGCCCTAGGGTTATCTGGTCCTGCTTGTTGGCAGCATGGGGCCTTCAATCCTGATGCATCCGGGGCCCGTCTAAGGATCGCAACAAGTGTCGCAACAACTTCTTTTAGGCTTTAGGTCTTAAGTGAGTCAAGTTCTGCACGCGTCTGTAATGAGGCTCTAAGGCGAGGTGGGCCATGGACCACAACGGAAGTTCTAGGATGGACCTTGCTATCAAGGTGCCGATGCAAGTGGAGCGGCTGGAAGGTGGCTTCAGGGTCGATCCAGCGTTTGCTCGTAAGTTTAGGGGCTAAGACGTAGAGAAGGCAGGGTTTTGGGATGCTTATCTGGTTGAAAAGATCCATTTTATGAACAGGCCATCGGTGTGCCACGATGGAGAGTTTAGACCACGGATTTCTGCCCCCAAGTGGCTGTGCCTTGCGATACAGAAAACGCTCTGTTTTGCGGATCATCGTCCAGCTGGCGTAGCCGTGGTTCGAATTAAATTGCAGTTTCCTGTGCAATCACGAGGGGTATGGCACAGTTGTGTTCCCTTCTGGATTTGTGTTGCCACTTCAATGTCGTGTTGTTGCAACTACGTGTGCCTTGTAATGATACTCCAGATGTCAAACTGCCTTCACACCCCGAACCTGTGGACTTCGGCCCGCACGACCTTAACCACTCAAACCGGCCGCTTTGAAGAAAAGCGCTAAAATCTAAGAAACTCCTAACCCCTGAAAACCTTCAACACACTAAACCCTAATCTTCTCAGACTGGAGCGTGCGAATTCCTCCGGCACCTGGGCAGATCGAGTTCTCAATGCCAGGCCCGCTCGAAAGGGTTTCTTGGAAGGGGGCTTCCGAGGTGCAAACCTGGTCGGCACTTCATCTAGGTAGGGCTTTGGGACATTTTACATTTTCCCTTATTGGGCTTAAGAGGATCTTATTTACTAATATTTTTCAAAAGCTTTAAAAGCCCCACCTAGTCATGCTGTCATCCTGCCACAAGGCCGAAAGCAAGACCCCACCCAATTAGCCGAGTCAGAGCTGCGAGAGCATACACCGAAACTCACAGTTTCCCGAAATACTAAGCTCTAAGCCCTAAGCCCTTAAATGAAATCGCAGACCACCCCGACTTGTCAACTAAACCCAAGGCGCCACATGTTTCGAGTCGGGATCACTTTTGATTTTCCTTATTGGTTCGATGTAGGACTCGGCATACGCGACCCTAACTATAACTATGATTTGGGGGGGCTTTTGAAACCCACACGGGGTGCAGGCATCGAGCAGATGTCGGAGCGCCTCAAAGTGCTCACCGAGACCCAGACCAATTGCTACAAGGCCTGAAGAGCGGGTCGTTGGGACAGCCAGGGGGGAACATGTCCTGCCCAAAGACAAATAAGTGAAAGGCCCAAAACCCTAAGCCCTGAACCCTAAGGTACTCTAAACCAAAAGCCCTAAGCCGAAAACCTTAAGATACTTCTAAACCAAAAGTCCAAAACCTAAAACCCCTAAGATACCTAAACCAAAAGCCCAAACAGCCCTAGGCATGGCAACATCCGTTTCAGGCGATGGAAGGGGAGCTCCTTGACCGCCGAAAGCCCCGGCCTCGGCCCTGTCGGCGCTGAGGCCCCCGAAAGTCAAGTCCTGAGGTTCCTATAAAGGGCTCCTTAAAGGGGTCTATAAGGGATCTATAGTAGCGGCCTATAGTATACTATAGAGGCCTTAATACCCAAAGGCGCCATAGCAGTTCCCTTTGGGGGTTCATAATTGGAATCAGGAATCCTATGAGGTAGTCCCAAAACGGAACTACTACTATGGGGCCTACGGGTAGAATAGGGTTTCGGGGTAGATTATATGATATGATAAGGACAGGTAAGGACTGAAACTGGACACCGTGTGGTTGGGTCCAGCAGTTTGGATTTGGGGATTCATGTTCAGGCCCTCTCACAGGTTGCTGCCCCGGCTTGACAGGCAGTCGGGGCTCAAACAGGTTATTTTAGGAGGCTTTGTTTCTTTACGGTGCGATGCTTCGGGCCTTGTTCAATGCCCACTGTCTTCGTGGCTCAAGCCCTTCGCACATGTGCACGTTTATATCAAGTATGCTTCCACAGCCAGACGGCTACGAACCATGGATCAGGCGCAGAACATCTGACTTGCAGAAAGCAGTGCTGTAATGAGCCATGATCTGCAACCCAAAACCGTGACACCACCAAGACTAAGACCTTGCAGATTCTAAGACTCCAAAACCCAAGGCCCATGCAGGAGATCCAGCTACAGCCCGTCCCTTCGGAACGAACTCCGTGAAGCCTCAAATCCCGACAGCACCTGAAGCACCACACGCCAAACATGCTGAAGAAGCTTGCGCGGGGCGCCCCAAAGCTGGGGCCTTTGCTGCGGCTGGGTCTCCGGAACCTGGCCTCTGCAGCAGAGGCGCCAATGCAACAATTCGCAAGGTTTAGGCTTGCTTGCGTTCTTGTGGCCCAGCATGCTTTCCGAGATATGACAGAACCGGCATGCCGCGAGGCACCGGAGGTCTTAGAAGCGACGGAAACTCCATCCCGGCCTTCTTCTGCACCTCGGGAAGACTTGCTGCAGCAATGGATATCCCCCGGCGCGACGCTGTATGTGAACCTCGGCCATTCTCAGAAGGGGTCCAGGGCACTTCTCTGAGGCTCGGCACGAGGAAGATAGCAAAGTGGGCATATCATCTCTCGCTACTCTTTAAGGAACCCCATCTGTTCGCAACTGGACCAGATGCTCTTGAAATGCGAGGCGCCGGACAGAGGGGACCAGGCTTGCACAGGAAGCAGCCGACCATTGACTATAGGGACCTTAATAATTAGGATGGGACTTTGGGGTAAATTATATTGTTGTTGTGATAAGGATCCCGAAGAATACCATCGGTAATTAGTTAGGCCTCTATAGTAACAGCAGACCTTGTGCTAGGCCCTCGCTCTAGGTAGCCCGCCGTAAGTCTGAATCCACACGCGCCCCAAACCCTCCCGTCATGTTGTCGGCCGCACCGCTTAGAAGGAGTAATATTCTCTCCAAACGCAGGAGCTCGAATCCGTTCTGGCCCTGTTGGTGACGCATCGCGGCGTCTTCTTCGTTCACAACCTGGTCACTGCTGTCCAGGTGAGAGTGGCAGAGACAGTTTTGTTCGACAATTCAATAATGCACACTGTAGACACAATCAAGACATGGTAAATTACGGTCACGGTAACTGTTTCCGACTTTAAGATCAAGATTAGACTATGTCTGAGTACAAACCAGGTTCAGGTGGTCAGGCTGAGAGGACTGATGCACAGCATGATCTTTGTAGCCTAAACATTCTCGCATGATTTTGCTGAAGATTTTGATGGTTTGGCTGAGCACATTGCACTGGCCAATATTTTGTGGCATGTCTGCTGGAGTTCATCTATCTAGCTAAAACTCTTGAAACTCGCTCCCGCGACAGGTGCTTGGTTCTCTGGCTGAAGATGCCAAGGATGGGAATGACCGCAGCACTTGCTCGTCTTAGTTACCCGCGCAACGTGCGATGCACCACCTGCTTTCTCCTCGAAGGGGCGAATATGAAGGCCTAAATAATTACGTATACTATTTTGGGATCTCTGTTACAATATAGTATAACGGGCCCCCAAAACCCTATTCTAATTATGAAGGCCTCTAAATGACAGGTCTATCTCTCAGATCCAGCATCCCCAAGAGCCATGTTCATATGCTTACTGTGTAAGTTTCGACTTCTTTCATAATTTTCATTGCTCTCATATGGTTCCCGCCATTACCAAGTACCGTTACTGCTACTTTCGTAGTCGTAGAACTAGACGCGTTATGAGAGATTGAGAGTCGAAGCCCTTGATCTCAAGCTGCCAGCCCCGCAGTTACGCTATTGTAAATAATTGTAATTACGGAGCCCGTTGATGCCTGAAGCTGTACATGGGCAGCTTTCCTGGTCTACTTGAAGATCCTGGTTTGGGGTCCCTGCATGGTTTGACCCTGTCGCCTTCCGTCGTACCAAAGGCGAGAAGCGGCCGCAAAATAAATCAAAGTTCAATCAGCGCAACGTAACCGGCTTATGGTTCATCCCTCGACTCGACTTATCCAAACCCAAGTCATCTCATGATCCTCAAATGTCAAGCTTGACGACTCTCCCGCCAGCATCAGGACCCGATGGCCGTGAACCGATTGCTCAGGGATCCGAGGCCCCGAGATGCGATCCTAAAGCTTGTTCCTCTTCCTCGCGCTTTGTGCCTGAATGCTCAGTTCACTTAAACCTTACATAAATCCTCGCAGATACGATGTCCTACTGCGTGATCTTTTCCGTTTCGTGCCGAAGCTGGATTTCCTGGCTATGACGAACGTGGCCTGCAGTCTCCAGCAGTTGGACCACAAGTGCGCCCGCCTTGCGATGTTTGTGCTTGATTGGGCTCCCATGTGAGTTCATGTTCCGCCTTTCTAAAGGCTCCAGGAGCATGCCATGGCTGGGAGATTGCACACGAGAAATACCGAAACCAGCAGCTATACATATACAAGGACGAGTAACTATGCTTTTAGATGGGAAGTAGCGGACTTGCGGCTGAAGTTACTGCGCTGGATATTCTATCGACATGCATCGCCATGACCAGAAGCAACTTGCAGTCTACCACCATGCCAGAGGGCTCAGCTAAGTTTGCAGTCACGAACAACCCGAGCTAGTGTTTCCTTCCCAGCCGATCTGCTTTCAAAATGTGGCCCTGCATCCGGACCGCGCAGCATGGATCCTTGCATCCGCCGGCCTACGCTCCTTCCAGCTTTGAGAAGTTGCCTCATCCAGGAATTCCCAGCCTGTCGTGTTCTGGACGTGCAAGCCTGGCAGCTCTTGCAGGCACAGGAGCTCTGTGCTTGTCCAAGGCCAAAGCATCACAAAGATTGATGATGAAATGGGCGCCACTTGGGTGCCTCGCAGAAGACTCCCTGGTAGCCGTGGCTGAAGACGAAGCAAACGACGGTCGCGGGCGCCGGCTCGTGGCGCGGCGCCACCTGTCAAGCGGCATCGAGATCCTCAAAGAGGAACCTTCCTTTGTGGTGTCGCGAGATGTTGCAATGGATGGTGTCTCCATGAAGCTGCAAGACTTGGGTCCAGCTGTGCAGGAAAGCTTGCTGGAGCTTTGCCATTCCTCCCAGCTTCCATCTGATGAGCAGGCTAGCATCGCGGAGATCGCCGGTAGTGACGGTCGGCTGCTGGCTCTTCTTCGTGTGTTCCTGATAAACAGTATCTCAGGTTGGTCATTGAGCAGTTTGATGGAGCTCTTAATTTTATCTTTCTCTACCGGCAAACTAGCAGAGCCAGTCAACTGTTTGCACCGCGACAACATCCCAGGTATTGGGACTCCAAAGGGGGGCAGTGCGATCTACTTGCGGGCAAGCCGGGCAAATCACAGCTGCCAGCCGAATGCGACCTTCCAAATCGACAAAGTGAATCAGCTCCACCTGGTTACTCGGTAGTACAGCAGGCAACCTTTGACCTGTTTGCACCTGCAGTCCCCATATTACAACTCAAAGATTAGCCTCCCGATGTTTGACAAGCCCTAACCCCTAAACCCTAAAGCAAGGTTACGCTGAGGCCCCTGGAGTGCAGCGAGGAGATCTTCGTGTCCTACTTGCCGGAAGCGACCCTCTTCAGGCGGTTCAGAGGTTTCGAGAAGTCTCCTCCTTCTACGGTACCCAGAGACTCCAATATCTCCGAATATTCCTTAAATCCTAGTAGGGATCCTATTATAATTCAAGGTATATTCCTTAATTAAAGGATATTGGAGTCTCTAGGCAGAGAGGCGACTGCGACCAAAAGTGGCTTGCACGGACAGGGGCCTCAATCCGAAGGTTGCGGGGCCTTTCGAAGCGGCTTTCCAGGCGTTTGAGGGACCAACAGAGCTCGGGCACAACTAGGGTTTAGTGCTGTTTGCTCGCCCGGAGGCCACAACGCGTCCGCCGCCGGCTCCTGGAGAAATGGGGGTTCAAATGCAGCTGCAGCCGTTGTCAGGGCAAGGATGACGTGCGACTCTCCGATCCGTTTGGGAGGATTCAAGGTTTAGATTCAGTTTCTTTAGTGCTCAGGGAATTTGGAAGCTTGTATGGGTTGATGAAGAACGTGGCCTTCAGCAGCTTTCGCTTGGGTGCAACTTTCGGGCTTCTGATTTGATGACCTTGGTCAAGCATTGTCAGATGCAGTACAACTTCCTTGTGATTAACATAAGTCTCACACAACATCATCTTGATTCAAATCTTTCAGTCATTTCGAGAGTGGCGGAGGGACTTCTGGAGTTGTCCACTGCTGCATCCTTTGAAGTCATACCTGATGAGTGGCACGGCAGACTTGAAGGTTTGCTTTAGTCGCTCATTTACTTCCCAGCAGAGGCGTTGCAGGCTGGATGCAAAAGATTCAGTTTCATCACGTTAAATTACTAGCCAGTTCGAAAAGGCCTGGATACAAAACGGGCTCAGGAGGTTGGGGGGGTTGTCGGGGACTAGGGTATCGGGGAAATCAGGGCTCAGTTCACAGGAGATTGGCAGCATTGCTTCGAAGTGCTCAGATTGGTGTCTCTAGGCCCACCTGTGATCTTTCGGCCTCAGAGCACAACTCAGTGACTTACCGGAAGTCTTTGCATTGCTTGGCATATGCCCAGGAACCTTCCTTTGTGGTCATTGCGGGCATGGGGCGATACGCCCCCAGACTTTGGACAAGGATCGCTGAGACTCAAAGGCTGGAGGTCGAGGTCCTACTGACTTCTATATGGGTGGTTGTCAAAATTATGGTCCCTTTTTGGGTCCCTTATATAGTACGGACCCTAATATTTAGGGTACCCCCCAAAAAAGACCATAATTTTGACAACCACCCATATAGCCTGTACTGGGCCAAATCTGGGAAATCATTTATCGCAGCTCGTGCGATGGCATAGACAGGTCGTCATTCACTTCCAGCGTAACCCCGACATGACGCGTTAAGTACATCAGCAGTGTTCAATGTGTAGGAAGAAAACAGCCGCCAGGTAAGACGTATGTACATAACTGGACCCAGAACCTCGAAGTGTGCTTGAGTCCATCGGTAGCAGCTACCGCCAGCAGCACCAACTGCTATGATGTCTGCTGCTGCAGCATCTTTACGGCTGTCACTCCTGCTGCGATCAGCCAGCACCACTGCTGCTGGTACTCCTGCTGCTCGTGATGTTATTGGGTCGACATCGCGTTTGCTAACTACTCGGCTGTTTATGGATTTATAGGGTCTAGGTATACGCTGCCCGCTCTTACCCATTTGGCAGCTGACTTAAGATACCCGTAGTGCCGTAGTGGTGCCGGAGGAGGATGAGGTGCTGTGGTGCAGCTGCTCGGCATGCGGTGCCGAGCCACCAGAGTCGCGGGAGCTCGCGGAGTCTGAGGAGCTTTGGCAGAGGCAACTGAAGAGGCCCAGGGGATATGGCGGAGCGCAATGTGCAAAGCCGGGTAAGGGTCCCTTCCATGCTTTGGACATCGGCCCGACATCTTTTCTGAAGAGCAGAATCTGAAGTGATCTGGCTTCAGCCAGTACCGACATCGACTTTATAAGCTTCCGAAGCTTCAGACAGGTTCCAACGTGAACCTTCCGGTCGAGGCATCCTCGAAAGCCTCAGGACTTTCCCGCTCTCTTCGGGGATGCGTGCAATTGCCCTTGCCGCTGGAAAGTTCAAGTCTGAAAGCTCATCCTTGACACGATTTCCCCCATGAGTGCCATGTCTGCCATGTCTTGGGCTGCTTCAATGGCATTGTGAAAATATGGGCGTAAAGTTGCCTTTGCCACCCGGTGAGTCACCGGACATGTGCTTTCGCAGTGGGGCAACCGCTGTATTGCGGTAGGTATGATGATGCATGATGCTATGGCAAGGTTCACAGTACCAACAGGAAACATTCTGTGTCTCGAGAACCAAGAGAAACTTGCTGCTGAGCGGTGTGATGACACCAAACCGGATCGCAGCAAATATCTTCCGGAGAAAAGCCGAAGCCAGAACTCACTAGTCCAGGTCTCCTTTCCACCTCTTCCCCCCAATGCCTTGGGTGCAGTCTGCATCGCTCCTACCACGAACTTGACAGGCCCTCCACGTACCCTGGACACCACATCTTATCTGGACAGGATTGTTCCTCGCGCGGTTCCTCAAGTAAGTTCTGAGACAAAAAACCCGAAGCTTTGTAGGGCTTCAAAGCCCCAAAACAGCTTCAAGTACATTTTGGAAGACCCGAAAGAGAGCTTTGATCCTTGCAGTCTGTGTGAGGACTTTGCAGCAGCCTAGCAGCTCGAAACCGCTTCCCAGTTTGCAAGGCCTTCTGCCCCTGATTCGGCTTAGGGTTTATGTATACAGGGTTTACGGCACTGCAGGTTGCTAACCTGGCTACACTGAGGCTGTTGATTGAGTTTCATAAAGCTCGAATGCCTTGCAAGGCTCAAGGTCTTGGATTCAAGGTGTGTCGAAGGAAACGTGTTGTCGCACCCTATGACTCTGAAGCTTTGATTCCAGGGTCTTGTGTCTTAAAGCTGCATAGCAGAGCTCCCAGAGGCAGCGTCTAGGGCCTAGGGCCTTGGAATGTAACCTCCACCTTAAACCCTGTACCAGGGCCTCCACCTGAAAAGCATCCATGGAGCGTATGACAGTTCTTGTGATCCAGTAGACCAGAGACCGAAACTTGCCAAGCCCCTTTTTACCCTGTTTTGCACCTAGGGAAAGGGGACACCCGACATCTCCTGCCCAGACCCAGGTGTGGACAATTTGGTGTGGGTTTACAGGTTAGTGGGTTTAGGGCGAAACTGGGAAGCCCTGCTTCTTGCAACCTAGATCCCGACCTAAAAAACCTTTATGCCCGAGGCCCAAGCCAGTTCCCAAAGTCATGCTGTACCAGGAGTCAAAGCGTTAGCTACCCCAAAATCTATCGGAAGGACACTGGGTGGCCGCGGCGATTGCAGATCTTGCGTCCCAGGACTCGGGGGGGTGGGGGATGTGGGACGAGCACCAGGCTTGGCTGCTTATATACATCCCCGCCGAAAACGAAAAACACTAAATCGGCCGTGTGCGAGTGAGTCGAAATGTTATAGAAGGAGTATGTAGAAGGAGTAAGCTAGTACAGGGACCCGAAGGAACCAGAAGGATCCAGAACGTGAGCTCTGCCTGCAATGTAATTCCGTAGACCCCTGATTTATAGACAGACCACCTGTCCTTAAAGGCCTACATATTAGGATCCCCTTTCTTACCCAGATTGAGGAGAGGGGTGTATATCTCCGGGCTTTACATTGCTCGAAGGAATTTTCCGATAAATGAGACACTGCAACATGGGCCTTGAAGTGGAGTCGGCGGATTCTTGACAAAAAGGACCCCATCCATAAACGAGATCTTAGATTTAGGCTCCGCAAACCCCCAACTCCAAAAGCCCTGAAGCCCAAAACTTAAAACCTAAACATGACGGGTTTAGGGTTTGTCATTGTCCGAGTTGTGAGCACCGAAGCCTTATAAACTCTAAACCATTAGCCTAAAAGCCTGAAGCTCTTAACCCCACCAATAAATTAAATAAATCCCCAAGCGTTGCTGGGCAGGTTCTTCAAAGCCAGGGCCCCAAACCTTAAACCAGATAGAGACCCTAAACTCTTAAACAACCCTAAACCCTCCCAAACCCCATACAACAAACTCCAAAAATCATCCTAGACCCGAAACCTTGGAACCCCCAAACATGGGCAGGTTCTTCCAAGCCAGGGCCGCGCCGACGAGGCCGAAGTCGCCGCCATGTGGAGTTGGCGCTTCGCGAGGTCGGGCTCTCGAAGTAACGGGCTCCGTTTAATTCGGGGGTCTTAGAGATATGTTTGAATCTTTGGTTATTATAATCCCTAAGATATAATCCCTCAGAAACAGCTAAACATGTAGTTTGTGCTAGGGGTCCAAGTTCAGTATAATAGTTTAGGGTTCTAGGGTTTGGGGTTTGGGCTTTTTGGGGATTTCGGGTTCAGGTGAAGGCTTCCAGGTTCCTGCGTGGGTCAGGCTTCCCGTAGTACGCGCCCGTGTCCCTTATACAAGTGTTACAAGTGGTACTTTGAGGCTTTCCTTAAGGGTCTTAGGATGTCTTAGGGCTTGGTGCTGAGGTTTCGCAGAAAGCGGAGCTTTTTGGAGCTCAGGGTTTGGCCATCATTGGTGTTTCACGCACATCGTGTATGATGTGGAGTTTAAGTGTTCGGGAAGCATGCGGTGCTTGTTCCATGTCGCACTGAAACCTTTTGAGTCTGGTCCTGACCCTTCTTGGCCCAAATCTTCATTCCAGAAACGTTAAGCTTTCAGAGTTCCTCTTGTGGCCACCCCCACTCGCCCCACTTTACCAGGCGAACTTTCCAGGGCGCTTCCTCTCGGAGGGGAGCTGAGGCCGCATGGGTATCGGTTGGCCAAATGCTTGCATCCTGGCTAAAGGGAGGGCGGTGAAAAAATAGGGTCTATACTCTACTTACACTTACGTACTTATGCCTCGGACGTCGGGGTAATGAGAGTCTTTCCATGGAAATCACCCTTAGAATTCGATCTCCAAGCAACTCTTCTGGCTCCCCCAAGAATTCCAAGTAAGAAAGGGCCGGTAAACCGACAAACAAGATTCCCATCGACAAATCGCCTGCAAGCGGCCACACCGGTGGTCCTGAAGTAGAGCCCGAAAGCTGGCTTGAATTTGAACCTCGAACACATTGACAGGAACACTGCGCACTGCTCGAGCAAGAATGGGTATTGGGTACCTCCTCGTTGTAATGTAGGAACCTGGCAAAGCAACCCTGGTCTTAAAACGCCGAAATATTAGGGTCCATGTGAGGAAGCCTGGTTGCTTTTGTTAATGAGGCTCTTGTATTATAAATTAGGACGAACGTGGCTGTCGTCAGCACCCTGTAAATCGGCAAGCCGTTTCACAGATCCGTGCTAGCCGCAGATCCGTGGCTCGGTTGAGGGTGTAGGAGCTTGTAGCGTTTGTGAATGGTTTTTACTTGTTCTGATCATCAGGCAGGAAACAGAAACCACTATTCGGCCATGACTCCGAGGCTTCATTTGGCTCAAAGACTTTCAAAGAGCGTTGATGATCCGCGACTGCTTCCAAGTCTGCCGTCAGAACTGGCCGACTTGTGTTGCAATATTTCTCGTGTATGACGAAGGCTGTGGCAATGGTTCGAGCGTTTTGTTCACGAAAGGGTTTTGCCGCCAAGAATCCACAGTTAGGGACTGTTTGCACAATTTTGCAGACCCTGCAAGGAACAACAATCATCTGAACCTCGTCCAACGCGTATCGAATGGTTCACCAGCAGTGCGCTAACCCTAAACCCTAAACTTCATTGAGTCCTGAGTGGCACTACCTTCGTGTTTGGCGGTGTGATGCATGTATGGGATTGGGTGAGCCGATTGTAGCACCGACGCGCACCGAGAACCTCGTCTGGCAAGTCCGAGTTGCGAGAGCGTAAACTTCATGTTGCCCTGCAGTGCGGGCTTTGTCTTTGCTAGTTGGGAGGGAACATGTTTCCCGAACAACAGCAGGCCCTTGCAGCGCGCGCTGGGATCTCGGCCCTTAGGGCTCTCTCGGAAAGGCCCCAGATGTGGGATGTGGGAAGTCGGAATCTTGAGCCGGAAGTTTGATTCGTGGTGTTAAGGGCCACTTAATTGTCGAGTGTAACTATAGGAACCAAAACCTCCCATTGACTTTATCACGTGGTATCATGGTGCGGGAGAGGCTTTTCTTTGGGCTTTTTCGACGCTGCACAGTCGGGATTTACATGCCACAACGCTAGGCTCAATGTGGGGATGTGGGAGCTTCCGAAAATGGGGAACCTGATAAAGAGTGGGATCCTTATGATAAGGACCCCGAAATAAGGTACTCATAAATTTCGGAAACTCCCACGTAGCTTGCCTGCCAGGGATGCTGGGCATACAGCAGCCGCATGCAGACGCTATGCGCGGGCGATGAAGGCTCCGGGGCTCCGGCCTCCTGTGATGATGGGGACGCGGGCAATGTGCAGCTTCCTCCTCCTACTACTACTAATACTAATACGAGTATTGATACTAATACTTATACAAACACTAGTATAAATACTAACATTAAAATGAATACTAACATTAACACTGATACTAATACTACTTAATTTCAATTCCTCGAACTTTGCTTTTTTTCGGCGAGTATTGAGCTGGCAGGGTTTATGGGCAGCCCCAGAGACAGAAGCCCTCTTGCACTCAGGGCCATGATGGAGGAATCCAAGCATTGCTTTCGAATCAATAAGCCAAAGCCGTGGGTTCTTGGTGGTTTGGGGCAGTGGTGGTCACATTTGGGGATATTTCGATGCGAGGAAGCAATCGAGGACTCGTTGTCCAAACACAGCCCACAGTGGAAACCCCATTCTCTACCACCGAAACTGATATGTGTGCCAGCCCTTCCTGAATCTGACTTCGATGCGTTTAGGGGAGCCATACTAGCAGAGAAGGAAGCCAGAGAGCGGCTTGGGCCTAAGCACCCGACGCTTGGCAGCAATGAGGCGATTTGGGGTTCAGGTTGAAGGGTTCGGAAGGGTTCGGACCGGAACTGTAGTGACCTGAGGGTTTGATAGGGTTTAGGGATTAGTGTTTAAGGTTTAGGGTCAGGGGTATTGTAAGAAGTACATGGTTCTTTTGCTTGACATGAGTTAGTTTCAAATTTGCTGGCATCTCATGAAGACCTTGAGAGCCCAGCTTGCCGGCATACAACCAAAGCCCGTGCTCAGAAAAGGGTTAGGGGTTGGGGTTTAGGGCAGGCTTTACAACGGATCGGTTCAGCAGCCCTGTCCCGCCAAGATTCGTTCGGCAGCTGGCCAAGCGCTCCAAAGCTGTCCAAGCCCTTGGACCAATGTGATTCCCGCGGTGTCTGCGTGCAAACAGACCAAAACGGCTTCGTCACGAATCCTCGATCAGTCAAAGAATTCCGGCAGAACTGCAGAACTGCTTCATGTCTCGATTCATGGAAGGTTCGGAGAGCAGGAGTCTAACAGGCCGGCAGATTTCCAGGTCGAGGTCTAACGAAACGATGATGCTTTGCGAGCAGAATCGTCGTGAATAATTGTGGGCACTTTGGCTGAGCTGTCGCTATGTGGAGAACTGCTGCAGCAACACACGATCGCTTTTCCGGTGCAGGTACTATCCGCTGCTTTCTCGCATGTTGCGGCCTTTGCTTGAGCAGTCGGTCCCGGATGTCACTACACTTCTTCGATGTATCAAGGCCAGGCAGGGAAAAAGATCTTGGATGTGCCCCACCGAACCTCAAACTGGGCCTTGTTTCGTGCCTAGGGCTACAACAGTTCTATGGAAAATACACAGCATTAAGGACAGAACACAGGTAATTCTCCTAATTATGCTAGTAACGAGGACCATTGCACTAGCAGCTAGCTTTGACAAGCTCAATTGGATACCATGTGGTGAGACTTGCCAGGCTTATCACTGGGCAGGCTACCATCAGCAACTCGCCGTGATGATGGAGTGCTGAGGCTTGTATGCGCGCTGGTAGCTTCAAGTACTGCAACTTGTGATTGTCGATGCTTTACTCGTGTTCCTGTCTATACTAATTTAGGCTGACTTGAATTTTTTGCTAGTGCTAGTACGCGTCGCTGTTGCTGTTTCCATCTTCAGCTACTCATAGACGGCAATATGCCCTGGCTAAGTAAGGTCCGCTTCCTCAAGGACCCTTACCACATCTTACCCCACTTACAATGTCCTTACCCAGCCTCCCAAAAGTAGAAATATTGGCCCCAATCCTATGAAAAGGCCATTATTCTACATATTTTGGGGGTCCAGGTAGTAGCTGCATCTTGGAGTGTTGGGGTCGAGTTGAAGTCCCAATTTGCGAATCTACATGGTAGTTTCCGAAATTAGGAGTACTTTGTTTTGGGGTCCTTAGGATAAGGATCCTACTATTTAGGGTACTGTAGCAGCAGGCCAAACGGAAACCCCAGGATGGAAGCCAGCCTTGTCTGAACCTCTTTTTTTTCCCGAGGCAGACCAACTTCTACAGATTCTTGGCGGATCAAGCTTGCAAGGGTTTTGGAAGACGGGAGTCTTACAATGTGTTGAGGCTCTGGCGGCTGGGTTTTAAGACTCTGTTGCAGGGAGGAAAATTGTGGCGTCAGAGGGGGGGTGGGCGACGATACTGCAGAACAAGGCATGTTCAGGTGAGCCTCATGCAGCAGCGTATTATCCTGGATCAGAACACCAGAAGGTACAGTAAGCTGAGAGGTTAAACTCTAAAGATGCCCTCGCATGTGTGTGACATTCGTGCGTGTCCAGTACCGTGCGTTCTGGTTTTGATTTTGGGGTGACTGGCGCAGTCTTCTTGATGGCCCTTTTGTATTTGTCTGCACTCGGCCTCAGTTGTATGCATGTTAATGAGAATCCCTAAGCCCTAAGTTTGACGAGAATCCTTTTGAAGCAGAATGCAAGGCCATTTTGCAGTGGTCCTTGCACAGACGGCGCCGGGCCTTTCACCCGAGGAGGTGGTGGAAGCCTGCGGCCTCTTTGCAGGCAAACTGACTTACCGCTGGTTAGTAGGGAATGGAAGAATGGTAGTACTAGGTACCCCATTCCCTACTAACCCAAGGTAAGCTGATGATCAGGTCATATGCCGGATGGTTCGGGTTTAGGGGGTTGAGCAGTGTTCGCTGGCACGCAATCCCAAGCCCATGCTGAAAAGGGGGTTCGTTTCCGGCACATGAGATGAAGCCGAACGAAAGGTTGAGATGCCAGTTTAAGCGAAAGAAGGCCACACCGCACCCCGTATCGCCAGATGTCCCGAACGAATGTGGGAGTTTGCGGAAATTCGGGGTACCTTTTTTGGGGTCCCTACAATACGGATCCTATACTATTTAGGGTGCTAAACTGGGGTCCCCTATTTCCGGAAACTTCCATGCGGCAGGTGCTACTCAGTACCAAGACCGGTTCTACCATGCTGCAGAGCAGCGAGTTCTCAGCAAAGACATTTCCGAGCTCTGCGGCCGCATTTCAGCTTTTCAGCATCGCATCATTTTCCGGCTGCCTACTTCTGGTGGATGTGGCTGGTAGGATTTGTTGGCCTGATGGATAATGCATGCTGTAGATGTTTTTTAATTGCAGCGGTCGCGACACTGCTCGGAGTTCCCGTAAGCATGTTAGTGGCCAATTTCGAAGTCCTCAGGCAGTCCAGGCTCCACAGGACGATGCTGGTTGCAACACGTGTTTGCGACAAGTGGGGGGGGGGAGGTAAACCTATGGCCTATGTGTGTGCGACATCGGAACGGTATGGACGGTAGGGCTACTGTGTGCTCATTTCCCGCTGATGCTGATGATGCTCGCTCGCGCCGTTCGCTGAATCCGTCGAATGGCTGGGTCGAACTGCTACCCGCGTTGCGTTTAAACGTTTGGAGATGGGAGCGTGGGTTTAAACAGATTTTTAGCTGACGCTGATGATGCTCGCCCTGCTGTTGACTGAATCCGTCAAATGACTCGGTCGAACTGATACCGTACTGTGGGCTTCAGAGGTGCGTGGATGGCAGCGTGAGTTTAAACGGATTTCCAGGTGCGGTTCGCTGAATTCCTGGAGTGACTGGATCGAATTGCTACCCTGCTGTGCGCTGAAACGTCCGGACATGAGCGTGAAAGTGAACTGCTTTCCAGCTGATGCTGATGATGCTCGCCCCGCGGCTCGCCGTACTCGTCCAAGGATTGGGTCGAACTACAGCTGCTACCCTGCTGTGTGTTCAATCGCAGGGAGATGGGACCGTGACTTTAAACGGATTTCCAGCTGACGCTGATGATGCTCGCCTTGCGGTTCGCTGAATGGTTCTACGATTGTATGAAACTGGAGATGGGACCGTGACCTTAGACGGATCTCCAGCTGATGCTGATGATGCTCGCCCTGCGGTTCGCTGCATGGTTCTACGATTCTATGAAACTGGAGATGGGTCCGTGACCTTAATCGGATTTTCAGCTGATGCTGATGATGCTCGCCCTGCGGTTCGCTGAATGGTTCTACGATTGTATGAAACTGGAGATGGGACCGTGACCTTAAACGGATTTCCAGCTGATGCTGATGATGCTCGCCCTGCGGTTCGCTGAATGGTTTTACGATTCTATGAAACTGGAGATGGCATCGTGACCTTAATCGGATCTTCAGCTGATGCTGATGATGCTCGCCATGCGGTTCGCTGAATGGTTCTACGATTGTATGAAACTGGAGATGGGACCGTGACTTTAAACGGATTTCCAGCTGACGCTGATGATGCTCGCCTTGCGGTTCGCTGAATGGTTCTACGATTGTATGAAACTGGAGATGGGACCGTGACCTTAGACGGATCTCCAGCTGATGCTGATGATGCTCGCCCTGCGGTTCGCTGCATGGTTCTACGATTCTATTATGAAACTGGAGATGGGTCCGTGACCTTAATCGTATTTTCAGCTGATGCTGATGATGCTCGCCCTGCGGTTCGCTGAATGGTTCTACGATTGTATGAAACTGGAGATGGGACCGTGACTTTAAACGGATTTCCAGCTGATGCTGATGATGCTCGCCCTGCGGTTCGCTGAATGGTTTTACGATTCTATGAAACTGGAGATGGGACCGTGACCTTAATCGGATCTTCAGCTGATGCTGATGATGCTCGCCCTGCGGTTCGCTGAATGGTTCTACGATTGTATGAAACTGGAGATGGGACCGTGACCTTAAACAGATTTCCAGCTGACGCTGATGATGCTCGCCCTGCGGTTCGCTGAATGGTTCTGCAATTGTATGAAACTGGAGATGGGACCGTGACCTTAAACGGATTTCCAGCTGATGCTGATGATGCTCGCCCTGCGGTTCGCTGAATGGTTCTACGATTCTCTGAAACTGGAGATGGGACCGCGACCTTAAACGGATTTCCAGCTGATGCTGATGATGCTCGCCATGCGGTTCGCTGAATGGTTCTACGTTTCTATGAAACTGGAGATGGGACCGTGACCTTAAACGGATTTCCAGCTGATGCTGATGATGCTCGCCATGCGGTTCGCTGAATAGTTCTGCGATTGTATGAAACTGGAGATGGGACCGTGACCTTAAACGGATTTCCAGCTGATGCTGATGATGCTCGCCCTGCGGTTCGCTGAATGGTTCTACGATTGTATGAAGCTGGAGATGGGACCGCGACCTTAAACGGATTTCCAGCTGACGCTGATGATGCTCGCCCTGCGGTTCGCTGAATGGTTCTGCAATTGTATGAAACTGGAGATGGGACCGTGACCTTAAACGGATTTCCAGCTGATGCTGATGATGCTCGCCCTGCGGTTCGCTGAATGGTTTTACGATTCTATGAAACTGGAGATGGGACCGCGACCTTAATCGGATCTTCAGCTGATGCTGATGATGCTCGCCCTGCGGTTCGCTGAATGGTTCTACGATTGTATGAAACTGGAGATGGGACCGTGACCTTAAACGGATTTCCAGCTGATGCTGATGATGCTCGCCCTGCGGTTCGCTGAATGGTTCTACGATTCTATGAAACTGGAGATGGGGCCGCGACCTTAAACGGATTTCCAGCTGATGCTGATGATGCTCGCCATGCGGTTCGCTGAATGGTTCTACGATTCTATGAAACTGGAGATGGGGCCGTGACCTTAAACGGATTTCCAGCTGATGCTGATGATGCTCGCCATGCGGTTCGCTGAATGGTTCTGCGATATGGGGCCAGGGGTTCAGGGTTTAGGGGTTTAGGGGTTTAGTGGTTTAGGGGTTTAGGGGTTTAGGGATTTAGGGTTTAGGGTTAGGTTTGGGAGTTTGTGGGTTCAAAGGGCTTTCGGTCCAGTGCCGTTTGGATTCTTCGGCCTTGAGTCGAGAGTTCTGTCTCTCTGCGATTGGCGGATAAGTAGTTTTTGTGATTTCGCATTCTGCTTGGCTTGGGCTGGGGGCTGGGGCTGGGGCTGGGGCCGGGGCTTGGGGCTGGGGCTGGGGCTGGGGGTGGGGCTGGGGCTGGGGCTGGGCCCAGGGTGGGGTGGGGCTGGGGGTGGCGGGGCTGGGGCTTTGTTGGACAGCGGGGCGAGCCACCCATTTCGTCCCCCACGTTCCGAGGAGGAGCTAAGGGGAGCAAGGAGGGTGAATGTTTCCTTGGCCACGGGGGAAGGAACTTCGATCCCCCAAACAACGGAGGGCACTTTGCTTTCTGAAGGTGGGGACAACTCACCGATCCTTCCGATGGGCCAGTTGGTGCAGCTGTTGGGCTGCCAGATCAAGTGGACGCAGTCAAGGTTGACCGTGATTCATCCTGTTCATGGACGATTGAGAGTTCGCCTTCGGGGAAATTGTCCGGTCCTTCCAGTCTCCCAAGCTTTGACTCTTATTAGCGAGTTGGAGCAAGCTAGGGTTCGGGAATTCCAGCGAACCGTGGATGGGCTGCAGGCCCAAGTCCGAGCTCTCCGAGAGCAAGGTCGGGAGGAATCAACATGGCAGCGGCATCTTCGAGCTCTATGTGAAGAGGGAAGTCGAACCTCTATGGCAGGGTTTCTTCATCGATGCCCTACCTTTGCGTCGGTTCCGGCGGAGGCGCTACTTGGAGTACCTGAGGATGCTCCGTGTGGCCCCAAGGACGGCTGGAAGCTGCTCAAGGGTATGCCCTGGTCGCGGGCGAAGCGCAAGGCAATGTATGCCAGCAAGTCATGGATGGTGCACTTGTTCTCTGGAGATGAACGGGCTATGGCAGCGAAGTGCACGTCTACAATGAGATCATCCTTTTGGAGCGCGTCCTTGGAGGGCAGTGAGGTGATGATCAATGTGGATGTGACCGCGTCGTGGTCGCTGGACCTTAACAAGCGGGACGGTGTCTTCCAGCTACTGTGTTGGGCAGCGATTTCAGGCCGGTTGAAGGCCATTGTGGGAGGACCTCCTAGACAGAGCTATCCAGTTCCTCTTCGTCCTGATGAGGCTAAGGAGCAGTACCAGAAGGAGATCCAGCTGATCACTCGCATGATGATACTCTGGTATGTAGCAGAGGAAGGTCGGCGCAAGGCCTGGAGGCAGGGCACCTTAGCGCCTGCTGTTGTGAAGCCGCATGTGGGATTCATGCTTGAGCACCCGGACGGTGATCGTCGAGATGATCGGGTCTCTCTCTTTGAGTCTCCCCTTTGGAAGGCCTTTGCCATGGACGCTTTGATGGGTGAGGTGGAGCTTTCAATGAATGGGCGTTCCACTGTACTTGGAGGTAACCTTGACCTATGGCATCTTCAAGGAACAAGGATGGGGCCATCTGAGCCAGGGGATCCTATTGGTTCAATGTGGCCGCTGGAGCTGGTGGCCAATGTGGCTCATGCCTTGAGGGCTTGGGTTGGCCTTCGGAGGCACGAAAGCCTCTTGTCTTCTTTGATGAGGAGATCGTGGATGGGCTTTATGGAAGAGGCTCACCCGGAACCTGGCGATGAGAATGGTTCAAAAACCGAGGCCCGAGGGTCTCAAGAGGAGCCTGTGCCCCTATGTCGCTTTGATGCAGATGAGTGGCGACTTCACCTGCAGCGGGACCACCTCCCTTATAGGAGAGATTGTCGAGTTTGTATCGAACGATCTACAGGGAAACCCCATCGGAAGATATCCCATCCTACTGCGTATTCTCTCTCCATAGACACCGCGGGACCTTTCAGGGCGAAGGGGCCAGCCGGCCACAAGTACCTTTTGGTGGCGTGTTACAGATTTCCCAAGCTGCCTGGCACGAAGGTCGATGATGGGAGGGAGGAGGAAGCTAAGGGTGAAGCCGCGCTAAGCCCTAAGCATGGCGAGGACTGGTTGTTTGATCATGACGATCCTGTGGGTGAACTACGTGAGCCAGACATCGGCGAGTTCAAGGATGCCAAGCCTCCTTCTACGTGTGAGGAGGAGAGAGCAGCCAAGGATGCAGAGATTGAGGGTTTGAAGGAGCTTGTTGAGCCCCTGGAGTTCTCCTCGGTCTACCGGCGATCTGCTTGGTACTCGCGGAAGAAGTGACGAAGGTGA